TTTTTGGTTTCCCTCCTTTCATTGCCCCTTGCTCGTCGTGAAGAACACTTCTCCTTACGATCCATCTCATTAGTCAACCTATTGGTCGATCGATCACCCCAATCAGTCACATCGATCTATCGATTGATTAGATTGGATCAATCGGTCGACCAACTAGTTGATTAATCACTATCAAGGTTGCTAGTTAATGTCCTCCCTTATGGATGTTTGGACAAATGCTTACTCAAACAAGAAATCAGCCCTCTATATGATCCGCCAAATCGGTATCTCGACCGATTGCATTAGGATGATCGATTGACTTCATTGGATTGATCAATCCGCCAATCGATTGACCGATCGGTCGATTGATAGACCAATCGATTGATAAGTTGACCAATCGAGAAATCGGTCGACCAATTGTTTTGATTGAGCAATCGATTGATCAATGCTTTACATATATATTTCTACTTCTTTACCCGCAAAACACGCCCTAATCACTTCCTCATCCCATGTGCTTTCACAAGTAAAGATGGGATTATTAAAAGAGTCGTTCCTAACGTTGAATGTTGTATCTATCTCTCATTTCCCGTCTTTACATCAAACTTTGCCCGCCTCCCCCATCGAAAGCTCGAATTTCTCTCCTCCTCCCCGACACCCTTAATTCATGTCTAACTATCACACTTTTTGAGGTTGTGTGACTACATATCAAAARAAAAAAAAAAAGGAAAAAAAAAAAAAAGAATAAGGAAACCTATCAATTGATCAATCAGACGATTGATCGACCAATCGATTGATTAGTAGACCAATCGATCCATCGTTCAACCAATTGTTAGATCGATCAATCGATTGATTACTACATTGCATGTGTATTTCTACTTTTTTGTCCTCAAAACACGTTTAAACCACTTCCTCATCCCATGTTTGGGCAAAATGTTTCAGGTTTCACTCCTTTATTGCCCCTTACTCATCGTGAAGAACACTTCTCCCTACGATCCACCTGATTAGTCAACCTATTGGTCGACCGATCACCCCAATCAGTCTCATCGACTTATCAATTGATTAAATTGGATTAATCGGTCGACCACTAGTTGATCGATCACTTAGCAAGGTTGCTAGTTAATGTTCTCTCTTATGGATGTTTGGACATGCTTACTCAAACAAGAAATCAGCCGAGATCGGTGTCTCGATCGATCGCACAAGGATGTTCGATTAACTTCTTCAGATTGATGAATGAGCCAATCGATTGACCGATCAGTCGTTTGATAGACAAATCGATTGATCGGTCGACCAATCGATAAATCAGTCGACCATTCGATTGATCAATGCATTACATGTGTATTTTTACTGCTTTTCCTACGCCCAAATCACTTCCTCATTCCATGTATGATGTGCTTTCATAAGTAAGGTCAGAATGTTACTGATTCCTCTCCTTTCATCGCGTTTTGCTTATCCAATGGAACATTTCTCCCTACAATCCTTTTGGTCGACCAATCATCCCTATCACTCGCATCAACCTATCAATCGATTAGATTGGATTAATCGGTCGGCCAACTAATTGTTTGCTCACTCAGCAAAAGTCGCTACTTAATGTCCTCCCTTGTGAGGGTTCGGATAAATGCTTACTCAATCAAGAAATCAGCTCCCTTTATGACCCACCGGATCGGTCTCTCGACTGATCGCATTGGATCGATCCGTAGAACAGTTGATTGATCGACCATGTCATTTTCAACTTATTAATTTTACTTTTATTGGTCGATCAATAGTTCAATCGACTAATCGATTGATTGATCGACCGATCAGTTCAATCTATTGATTAATTGATAAATCGGTCAATTGATGGATTAACTAATCAATTGATTAGTCGGTCGATCAATCAATCGATCGATCACCTAAATTATTCATCGGTCTATGGACCGATCGAATTGATCCATCGACCAATCAGTAGTTAATTCACGCAACTTTGTCACATATTACCTTTCTTTGTCGATGAGCTTCCCGCTTGAACGGCTTTTCGCCTCTTTGTGGTTCATCTGACGAATCAACTGATCACCTCTATCATCGGTTCGGTCTATAGTTAGACCAATTTGGACGATCAATTGATTGATCAACCAATACATAGATTGTTAGGTCGACCAGAACCCCCCATGTTACCGACTCCGCCAAGGCCCGATCTCTGGTCTATCTTTTTGTTGTTTCTGCTGCATCCCATTTTCGGCCTGACACCCTTTTTTCCAAACCCCTGCTTTGGTACCGTTGGATTTTGGACAACTAGCGCCATGCTGCAATTCGAGCGTCACTTTCAAATACCGCATTTTTCAGTTCTGCCCTTGGGGCTTTTATGGAAATGCCCCTGGTACCGTACGTGTTACCGATACTTATACTAGTTCCCCGTACAGTACGGGGATTTCAGCTGTTGTACTCATACTCAGTGTGACTTGCTGTTTCGGCATTCGGAATCCAAGACTTCGACTTTGTGCCCTTGCCAGTGTGTCTGCGTCCGACCATCAGTTGTCGAGTGAGTGAGTGTGTGTGTGTGCTCTCACTCTCTCCCTCTCTCTCTCCTCTCCCTCGGCTCTCTGTTAGCCTCGCGCTCGTCACACTGGTATCAGAGCGGTTGGAACCCGCCCGACCCACCCTGCTTCATCGTCACCACCTGGCCATCATCGGCCTCGTCGGCATGATCGTCGTCATGGTGCCAAGTCATCGTCGTGATCGTCTCCGTCGTGCCACGTCATCATCGTCATTGTCGCGACCTTCGTCGTCGTGCCACGTCATCATCGCCATTGTCGCGATCATCGTCACCGTGCCACATCGCCATCGTCGTGCCCGTCGTCCTCGTCGCAGCGCCGTGCCATCCTCGTCATCGTTGTTGCTACCTC